GGCAGAGATCTGGGGAAAATCGGAAGGGACCATCCCCTCATTGTTCTAATGCTTCAAATCGAATTTGAAAAAAATGCCTTTTCTTTAAACGTTTACATTTTTTTAATTCCTTTGACCAATAACTAAAACTTCTTTACTAGTATATGGTAAGTGCCATATATTTATTGTTAAGGGTTCTAGCAATAGACCTGGGGTCGGTTGCTTAAAACTAAGTTATTTTAACGATACGTTAAACTGTAACGGGTCGTTATCTTGCTAATGTGTCGTTTGTTAACGGTCCGTCTTGCTGTTAAGTCAATTTCATTATCCATTAACTAACGGACTGATTAAAGTTAATCCAAGAGAAGACTGTTTGTTCATTGGCTGAATTTTAAAGTTTTAAATTCAATGTACATGTGGGACAACTGTGCAGTTTGTTCACAAAATTTGATTAAAGACAAAAAAATAAGTTACTGTAGAATTACTACAGAAAACACTATAAAAAACTATAGAATACTTAATTTTTTTCCTTTAGAAATTTTAGCATAAAGCTGTAGGAAAAATTAAGGGATTTGCACTACAGAAACTGTAGAATATTTGGGGCCATTTTTTCCTACAGGCCCCCAAAATTCTGTAGAATACTATAGAATTTAATCCTATAGCAAATGGAATAGCCACCCATCGCCCGACCCTCTAGAATGTTCTACTGAAAATTACACTGGTAATCTATGACTTTTTGCTAAAGGGTAAACTTTGACTGACAACCGACTAATGCCATTGTTAAACAGATAACGGGGCCAAGCACCTCCGTTAAATATAATGGCAAGTTAACGACATGTTAAAGTTTACGGGGCTTCCAGCAAAAGACTTTCTCTCCGTTAAAGATACGATCCATTAACTCCATGTTAACGAGTCGTTAAAAGTTAACGGCGAGCTTTGAACAACCGGCCCCTGATAAACGAAATGAAAATGAAATGAAATGGGGTTTACCGTCCTACTGTTTTGCTCCAAACACGGCTAATGAAGACGGGCATACGCCATACAGTGTGCTATGAGGGAAATTTTGCCCGGACAGCGGCACTACGGCCTACTCTTATATCGAATTCCAACTGTCAAAGGACCTCGTATCACCCGAATGACTAGACAGCTGTCCTTGTCAGGCCCTCCGTCCTGTATCATTGACAAGGGGGAACCACGCCGGAAAATCTGGGTGAACTTTCTTGGCCAATGCAGGGATCGAACACCCAACCTCCAGGCTAGCGAGCTAGCGTTTACCCACTTAGCCACCGTGATCCCTCCCTTGTTAAACAACGAGACACTCAGTCTAAGTACATGCTTAAAAAGTCACGTATTTTCTTAACGATATATTTAGTCCGGGAGCTAGCTGGGTATTTTACTGTTTGTCAATGATGTTTTTTTATGAACATTGGTCAAATCTGCTGTGAATCCTATGATCATTCCCTACATGTTACACCTTGTTCCAATGTCGCATCTTTCATGTTAATTAAATGTCTAAGGGGTCATTCAGTGCAAACCAGCATTATTCTCTTCTTAATTACACTGACCACCAGAAATTTCATTCTTAAGTTGATGATCATAATTTCTGATATTATTCCGCACATTTAGGCTTGAAAGAAGAAAGGTCAATATGGAAACGATTTTTTTTTATTTAGAATAACGCACCACCTAGCTACCCAAGGGTGCAACGAAATAACAAGCCAATCCATCTCGGTACATGGCCTATATAAATATTCAGAGTCTATTCCATTCCTGAACTAATCATCAATAGCAAACTTTTACTACCCTCTTCGGAACTAGTAAGGGTCACCAGTACTGAACTGAAGTAAGTGATTAATCTCGTGTGAATGACCTCTTAAAAACTTGACAAATGGACTATAGTAGCCTGTAATTATAAAGGTTTATATCCAGCAACTGCAATCTGTGTAAAAGGTAAAGTCTATTTGTAATAAAGATTTTGTTAAAAACGACAACCTCTTAAGAGTTGTTTAAACAGGCATTAAAGATACATTAGTTAATAGTTTAATAAAGAGTTGACCATTCTTGCTATAATAATTCAAAAATAGATGATAAAAAAAAGAAAATATTCAAAATTTCATTCAAATTACTTCATTCTCAGCCAAGTTATCATTGTTTGTAGTTTTGACAAGATGTGTGCAGTGGTAACCAGGGCACTGGTATAATCGGGACTTAGCCTCGTTTTCCAATTTTTAAATTAAATTTTTAAATGGCGAACCGTTTTAATCTAGTTAAAATCTCGAGTATCCGATGCCATCGACAGTTGATTATGGTCTGGATAAGTTAAATAATGTCTAATTAATAATTTTAGATAACATTTCAGGCCTAAAGAAAGACCTGCTATAGGCAGATTTAGCTCTTGCATAGGGTATGTTTGAGTAAGATCTAAATCTGCCTATTGTGGATCTTTCTTTGGGCCCTAAATATTATATGAATTATTAATTAGACATTTATTAACATCACAAGACCATAATCAACTCTCGGTGGAACCGGATAGCTCCGATATGAGGTAGATTAGAACGCTTCGGCCATTTAATGACTTAATTTTAAAATGTAGAAGCGGGGCTGAGACTCGAATAACCAGTACAGTGGTTACGATCAATGAATACATCTTGTCAAAACTACTCCAATCGATAACTTCGCTCAAACTAAAGTAATTTGAGTGAAATTTTCAATATAATAATTTAGCATTATGTATTTCTGAAATATTATAGGGAGAACGACCAGGTCTTAATCATACATAATCCCCCTTCAAGCCTAGTCGCTAAGAACAAGCGAGTCCGGCTCTGGCTTGTCATTGAAAACACTGAGATGGTACAAAAAAAGTATTTATTGTTACTAAGAAAAGAAAACTGGCTATTGACTCGTCTTCCCAGTATTCATTATTCAAGTTTTGTATGGGTGGGTTTGTGTGTTTTATTTTTTTTATTTTCTTATTTTTTTTATTTTATTTTATTTTTTTGTTGGCGACAGAAGCTGGTTTACACTATTAACAGGCCCGGATTAAATATGGGGGCGGGGGGGGGGTGTGTTACAGTCAGGGTCATCATATTAATGGGAGCACCAGATTAGTTGTAAAAAATAATTTGTGACTTTAATTATGTTGTATATCTTTGCGCTAAATAAATCTATCCATCTACAATACTACTGACATATGCCCTGTTTTCACTGTTGATGCATGGGGCAACAGTGACATTTTCGGCCAGGGACCTCATGCCAGCACTGACTCTTAGCCTATATTTTCATTTCTTTATTTAGTTTCCTTGAAAGTATTACCAAGTACAGGTCTACCACCTTATTTTTACTCAGGGGCCACGGCCTGTGTATAAATCTTGGTAAGCGTCTTGTTCTTGGGGTTTTCTCAGTTTCTTCTTAACTGCTACAAAATGACCAAATGAAATGAAATGGGGTTTAACGTCCTACAGTTCTGCTCCGAACTGGGCTAATGAAGCAGGCATACGCCATATAGTGTGCTATGAGGCAATTTTTTTTCCGGACAGCGTCACTACGAACTACTCTTATATCGAATTCCAACTGTCAAGGGATATTTTAGGTGCACGCCAATGCGTACACGGGACCTCGGTTTTTTCATACCACCAGAACGACTAGACAGATTTCCTTGTCAGGCCCTCTGTCCTGCGTCACTGACAAGGGGGAACCACGCCGGAAAATATGGATGAACTTTTTAAGACAAAATAAACATTTTACCATTGGTACATGAATCGTGTACCATAATGCGTTTCAGTGCCATTTGTAACAAAAGGACTTGAAGAACGCCGCGAGACATATTCCACAATTCATGTCAATAAATAAATATTAACGTGTTTGACGTATATCTAGATAAAAAAAACATTTCTTATTTAGTGTAAATGGGTATATAAAATGAGTAAAGGGCACCATTCTGCCCGGACCAGTTAATGCAATAACGTCTTATGTAAACCATGCACGCGCCATAGAGCCAATGATAGACGCCCCGTGATGTGACGTCGCCTGTAGAAGGCACACTAGAACTTATAATGGTCAGTAATCTAATAAAGGGGTATAAGAACGCCTATTGGTCTAGATGGCCGGTCACCTCTGACTTGCGGTGTTTACTCCGGGTACTCCGGTTTCCTCCCATAGGAAAGACCCCTGCGCGCGTGCTAAGATAATAAAAATGAAAAATAAGACGTATCTGTGATATCACCTTCGGTAGAACTGGGCGTTAAACATTAAGAACTAAATGTACCAATTTAAAACCGATTGTCAGTGCAAAACAGGCTGAATTCGGACAGTTGTAAAGGGGGAATAACTCCTGTTTTTTACTATTTGTATAATAACATGTTTAGAATTTAACATGACATGCGATTAGCCTCAACCGGGATAATGATGACGGGAATACGCCATGCAGTGATGAACGAGGGGAAACCATGACCGAACAACGGATATATATTAAGGGCAGGGCTTATTTTCCGTGCACGCCAACGGTCGATTTACGACTAGAACTTGGTTTTCGTCCGACTCGTACTGTTAAAGCATTTTCCATATCAGGTCCTCTCTGTGGGGCATAACATTTCTAACAAGAGGAAAGCAGGCTGAAAAATCCCGATGACCTTTCTCGGCCAACGCCAGGATTGGGGTCGGCCAACTCCAGGATTGGGGACCTCTTGAACCACCTTAGCTCGTTTGAAATGTAATCACTACTAATGATAATAGTTTAGTCCATCTGCGGTGTTGCTAAATGTTTCACTCTAGTAGACAGTTCATCTATACTTGCAGGTTTGATTACGTCTAACAGCAACCAGTCATTAGATCACGGGTTTTCTTATATAATTTTATAACATTAACTTGTCTTATAAGACAGTCGAAATTCTGTCAATGTTATTTTGAAGACACACCTACACCAACTTTCACCATTGATCCGGGAACATTTTCATTTTTTTTTTTTTTTTGACGGAGAGTGGTGCTTTTGCTATCACCCCCTCACTAACACGGAAGAAAGAAAATTTTGTAGCACAGATTGGATTTTATATTGTAATATATATATAAGCTATAACACAATCAACAATACGTTTTCAAATGCACCAACTTTGCGGAGACAAAACAATCATCATCAAAATAAATATTGTTTAAAATGTGACGAAATACAATAAGTGAACAGTAAAACAGAAGCAAAAACTTTATATACAATGGAATGCGGTTATTCACAAAGCATATTTCTTCCACATTGATTACAAACTGCGTTTTGCTAGTCTGAAACTTTAAATCAGAAGTTCCTTATTTATCATAAAATTGTATTTCCTCTTATTACTGCACCCGTGTGAGAATAAGACACAAAATCACAAACGGTATCTTCGTCTACTTATACAGGATTACCAAAAACTTTTATTATATTGAATGCGAAGAGAATTTTAAAACTCTATTTGATATAGACAGGTTGACCGCTATATGTATAAAGCAAATTGCTGTTTGTAATCCATGTGGTAGAGACTGCAGAAGGTAAATCACACATTTAAGTAGCAAAGACAATATACAAGACACACTTAAAATAAAAACACTATTTTATGGATACCATTTGCTATGGCTTATTAGACCTGTTTCAACAAGATTTCACACGTCGTTATCAAGCATCTAACACAAACAAATAAAATGAACATTTAACAGTTACCTAAGACGCTGCTTTTGTAATGGTCTACTTTCTGTTTTTTACCTATAGATTTGGTTTGAGGTTTTTACAGGTCTTGAGTCTTCGTTTCGTACTTAATGATTCGGCTTTTGGGCTTGTGGTTTGTCTTTTTTAACCCCACAACTAATGATGAGAAATGGATTTGATAAAAATGAGGATTGCATAATGTGGTCGAATAGGGTGAGTTGACTAGAAGATCCTTGCTTTTACGAAAATGTTGATAAACATGAAATGACAAATTTGGTAATGATGATATGTGTTAAAAATTATTCGTTTAGGGGCTATTCCTACTTGTACAAGGCTACAATAAATTTACAGTATTGCAGGTAGCTCTCTAATATTCCATTATATTTTTGAAGCGAAGTGTCTGGCGGCACCAACCGGGTTAATGAACAGACATACGCTTACGAATTCCAAGGTGAACATCGGGTTTTCGTCACATCTGAACGTCTAAACGCTGTTTCTCACCAGGCCCCGGGCCTTCACCACAGACAAAGGAAAAGCATGCAGAAACATCCTGCTAGTCCGTATCTCGCCGTTATCGTATTACCTTTTATAGCCACGTTACTGTATGATCATGAATAAAACTGTAATGGAGGATGAAAGGTCTTCTGGGGTGTAAGATATTTTAATTCCAGCGGAATCATCTACTCCCCAGGATGGCAGTATAATTAGTTTGAGATTGCCCTTTCAGATCTGACTAGATAAACGATATATACTATAACAACATCTTGAGACGTATATTGGGGGGGGGGGGGGGGCAGACAGCTAGCTGATGATTTGGTGTATATCATAATGAACTAAAATGGTTGATTTTTTTACCTGGACGTATTTTTATGTATATATACTAAAGTACTAGTAGATAAAGTACAAGTACTTCTTTGTTTACGATAGATAAATGCATAAATAAATAAAATATATACATACATTAAAAGCTAAAGAATAATAAACTAAAGACATATATATAAATAAAAAATGCGTCCTGGTACAAAAATTCACAATTTACTTCATTCTGACATACATGTACATTAAATAATTTATATGGTATAACAAATTTCAAATACACGCAATAACTTAAACGCAAAATATACTGAGACGCAATATGACGCACCACTAATTTCACTGGAAGTTCTGGTGAGACATGACTCTATTGAAATTTGATTTTTGGCATGGTTGTCTCACAGTATTTTTTAAAAAACCACATTTAATAGTTACATGTCTGTGGCAAAAAATCGTGGATTTCAACAACCCTATTCTGTCGAATTCAATCTTTTTTATATTTAACAGAAGTGATCTGTGGTGCGTTTACACGATCATGAAATCATCATTCTAGTATCATCATCGTCTATGATGTTGACGATGTTGTTACATCCAGAAAAGCATAATTAAAATATATCTTTGCATCAATCATCCTTTTATAAAAGTGGAGCGTTTTCATTGCGTCCCTGTATATTTCTTTTTAAAAGACAAATAGCCGTGTTCAATAAATATGTTATGCAATTTTATCGTAGTTTTCTACACAATTAATCCTTCTTGTAGGGACTCTAAACGAGATGTCATTGCTCTAAACATTTCAAATAACGCTCAAGTCAAGAGGATGTAAAGGACTCGTTGAACAAGGCTATAGCCAATTTCTGTCAATTAAATTATTCCTGGCTTCATATAAAATCAATGATAAAACATAAATAACAACCGAGCTTAAATGCAAGATAATAAACAATAAAAAAACAATGTAAATAAACATAAACTAAAAAATAAAAAGTAGGCTATAATAATTACTTACATAAAATACTACATTTTGTAGCAGTAAAATTAACAGTTAGGAAAGTGCCACGTTTGTGTAAAAAAATAAAATAAAAATAAAAAGAAATTGCAGTTCAGAAATATAGGCAGTGAGATAATTCCTTCTGGTTGGGGGCGCTTAATTAGTCTATCCAAGATTGTTATAGGCTGGCTATATGCCGATAGATACAATACTGATACAAACGGTGGCGATACAAATGGTGCCGGTGCCGGATGTATATATAGTGTATAAAGATGGTCGTCGGGAATGCATACTGAATATATAAATATACATAAGTTACAAATAAAACATAGGTTACATACCACTGGGGGAATCATTTATCTGTGGGTCACAAAAATTTAGAAAACTAAGAATCCATCATTTTACTCATTTAGGTGTAGATAGCATAGAATACAAGATATATATGGGCAGACAACTGATTCCTTATAGGCTACCAGTAACATCATTTATTATAACTATATAATAATGGTTAAATATCCCACAAATTCTGTTTTCAACTAGGATCCGATCATTTTACTCAGAAAATCTAATTTCTGTATATTTCATTTACTTATAGATGGTGTAGCATACAATACATATAATCGACAGGCAACTCTCATATTTACATTATTTAACAAATATATACATAACATAATATGCCATGTTAAAAATTAATATTATATTAACAATGTGTTGTCATCCTTGGCACAGATCCAGGTGTTACTATTATAGTAGTATTTATATCTTTATACTAGTCATTGATTACTTCTATCATGCAAGTAGACCACTTCCGAATTAACTTATAGTAAATATGAACATCAAATCAAACTTAATGGGCATATTATCTAGATCTAGTTTGTCTTGGGTTAATTCATAGTGTAACAATATTGTAATGACCATCACCATAAACACTTACATGATTCGCGATTGATCGGTCCCCAATGATGTTAATAGGAATTTTAAGCATGTGCACGAAAGAGTTGATAACAAAGTGTTTGATCGTTTTTGGATAGATAATTACCATGGATATTTTTTTTTTCAGGAGGTCCTGTTGAATTTTGTTGGCTAGGGGAGACAACTCCTTAAATACAATTATCTACCTTTGAAATGCAACAGAAAATCTATGGGTATATTGATTGAACGTTGTGTTTAATTACATCACGATTTTCTGCACACTACCAATGTTATTGGAACTGACAAAACTGTGATGGCACTGAATCTGTGTCACTTAATGTCCCCTTTCATAACTACAGAACAATCAAGCTTCCCTACAAAGTATCAAGTGTCTTTTTTTCCAATTTAGTTAAACATTTAAATTGCCCAATTCTTTAACAGAACCACCAAAAGAAACCATGTATCCATATTAACACATATTATGGGTGATCCTTTGCTCCATGCTTCTTCCTGAAACGAAACATTAAATAGACACATCATTGACTGTCAGTACAAAGTTAGTAAGATTCATGCCAATATGGGATTCAAAATAATCCACATGTTTAATACTAGATGAAATGAAATGGGCTAATGAAGACGGGCATACGCCATACAGTGTGCTATGAGGGAAATTTTGCCCGGGCAGCGGCACTACGGCCTACTCTTATATCGAATTCCAACTGCCAAGGGATCTTTTACATGCATGCCAAAGTGTACACGGGACCCCGGTTTTTCATCCCATCCGAACGACTAGACAGCTGTCCTTGTCAGGCCCTCCGTCCTGCATCACTGACAAGGGGAAACCACGCTGGAAAATCTGGATGAACTTTCTTGGCCAATGCAGGGATCAAACACCCGACCTCCATGCTAGCGAGCCAGCGTCTTACCCACTTAGCCACGTGATCCCCTTAATACTAGACAATTGCTAGATCTCTTAAATTATATACTTTATTTTTGACATTGGGTTGAGTGGTTTTTTTTTTTAATCCTGGGTATGATCTGTTGATCTCTTGCCATTTCATCTGAGACACAATATTAATCATAGTGCCTTAAGTAGAATATGACTTCAGGATACAAGAGTGGGGTGGGGCGAGGGGAGTCTTGGGTTTAAATGATCAGATAGGTAATGTTAGGCATATTTTTCAACAAGGTTGAATGCTTTAGTTGGGGCTATAATGAACAATTTTAATAGCAGTTAAATAACTCACAGTACCAGGACTTTTTAATTAATGTTAATTAAAATTAAACAAATCGCCAACCTGATAAAGATGAAAATAATGAAGATAATGATAACAACGGGAACTGCAACACCAACAACGCATCCCACTATTACTCCAACTCTAGCATCTTTACCTACAAAATACATTTAAAATAACAAAATAACATAAAATAAAGTTATAAGAAATTGGACTTTCAAAGACAAAATGAATATGTCTGCTTATCTAATTATAATAACATACAATTCAACATTTCCACATTTCAAGCAATGATGCAATATAAAGAATATTACTGAAGCAAAATGTTTCCCCTACTGTACCAGCCCCTACAATTCATAAAATACATGCGTCAATATGTGGCTGCTACTATGATTACAGTTCAGACGTGCTTATTATTATATTCCTAATACTACAGATGGAATAAATTCTGTAAAACAATCAATGAAATATTTTTTTTAGGAACTTTAAATATATTATGCAAAGAGCGTAACGGCCATTTACCATATACACAATTGATGTCACTTTGTCTAGACTAATGTGTGGTATAAGTGATGTGGAGAGATAAATTGGGATGGGTTGATCAAGAGTTTCAGCAAGGATGTTGTCAGACTGTATTGTACAATGTAAATGTTAACAACATAAAAAAAAGAAAACAATAAAAAGAACAATTCAAGTTTGATAGATATTTGATTTAAACAGTTTGCAATTTACACTTTGCATAGGGGTTTGAGAAGCAGACAGATCAATTAATTTGGTGCTATGGCATCTTATTTGAATGGGAACAGAGCCAGCGAGAAACGATGAAATTAACCATTCATGATAATGTACCATGTAAGATGTTAATGGCTTCTTTCAGCTGCTAAATCCCATTCCATTATGTCGATAAAATGTAAAAAATAAATAGTCTTGTATAGTCTTCTGTAAAACAATCAATGAAATATTTTTTTTAGGAAAACAGAATTTCACTGATTTTAAGTCAACAAATGGACATAATTCACAAAATAATTCTTAATTCCAACAAAAACAAATTTTAACAGGAAATCTTTAACAGAAGTGTTTAAATCGAATATCTAAAAGATAAATTCTAAAAAATCTTGAAAACAACATGAAGACGTACCGGGGGGCTGTCAGATAGGTTGTATGGAAACCTTATAGTCCCCTCCAGTAAGGTATTATATATAGAACTTGCTCAGTAATAAACAATAAATGTATTCCATATTTCCATTTCAAGCAGGATATTAAAGTGCGTATGACTCTATTCTTTTGAACATTAAAATAGACGAAAATGGATCTAAAAGCACATATTAGTGTAATATAAATGTATATAATGTGATTTATATTCATTTTTAAAAAAATAATATTGTAATTTCAATTATGTTCGGGAAATACATGAACTGTTCAAATTGAACAGCAGTCTTTTAAGTCTAGTATTTCCATTCTACATGCTTTTTAAATTATTATATTGTCATTTGTGAATCAGCTATTACTTCTGAATTGTCTTGTAGGATATTTTGGTCTTGTTCATGACAAATGGCACCAGAAACCATGAGTACACAACTCGTCTACTGATGTAAAAAGTGCATTGTGTCTTTTAAAAATATTGGATATATTGATTTAAATCAATCTGATTAAAATACAGATCTATATTTCGTTTTGTTTTTTTTATACTTTCGATGGCCTCCGCTACCGGTTGTAGTGGTAGTTCCTATGAAGTTAGTTAGACATTTGATTAACCAACCAGCGTTAATGTTTCTAGTTGGTTACCCACAGTTCTGTGTCGATTTTCTTGCGACCCGTTGGAGCTAAAGTGGGAATGCGAAGAACCAATATCAACCAATTCATCACCCTACGAAATATACCATACATAAACAGAAAGTTGGAACAGTCAAAGGTAGTTTTACTGTTAATGAGCAGAGTATCAAAATAGAAGGCTTTCTTCGAAATCTTGTCATACCATTTTTTTTAATTGAGTTAATTATTAGAATAAAATATTGTTATTTACTATTCTGAGTAATACTTGTTTCTTATTTATGTGCAAACAAAATCTGACGTGTCGTGTAGGAGCTAATGTGACCCCCTGTAACCCTGTTTACATTTGTACGCTGATATGTCATCTCGGGAAAAACAATATAAAAGGCCGATACACTGGCCATAATTATAGTATATCGCAGTTATTTCACAAACAAACAGCATGTTGCATATTGCCGCAATAATAGTTTTACTGAAATATGAATACTAAAATATCGCAACATTAAAAATAGCTGATATCGTCCCATCCCCGATATATTATATTTCTCTCACCTGTATCACTTGAAGTACCTTTAAGAGTTCTATTTTTATGTTCAGCTGAAATTAAAAATATAGCATAATTATGTCATCTATTTCAGCCATAGAGCCACAGTGGCTTTATGGGTATAGTTTTACACGTGCACTGCATAATGTCTGTGTAGATTACAAGATTGCAGAAATTTGATCTAAACACCAATCGTCATATCTCGGTATATTTCAGTAACCTCCCCCAAAAAATGGTACTTTGCCATTGACATCTGCTGTTATGTACCAGCAAAAATCAGATAATGTATATTTATTAACAACTGCTCCTGGCTGTATCATCAGGAGACATAACTATGCAAGTACCGGTACTTAGCGGAAACACCAAAAGTCAACAGGGGGTAGATTTAAATTTACCCCCAACACTTTCTATACCATAATGTTTTCTTATCAAAAATAATTGGGAACTTAACCTTGTAGTATGAATACAAGTAAGTGTGGACTGACCCATCGATATTTACAACCACAGTAAATAAAGAAAGGTTGTCAGGCAACAAAACATACACCCACGGTAGCTAAATAGGACAGCAGTCTAACAGAGGTAATGGAAAAATTAAAAGACCACTAATAACTGGTCAAGAATAACAACCCAGTAATTACCAGAAATAATTAAAATTTGATTGGCTTCTAATTCTTGTTGTTGCTAACATTTATTATACAAACTTGTACCGGTAACGATGATAAATAGTTTGTGTTATCGGTTACATCAAATAATCACTGTGTATTAATTTCAAATCAATCATAAAATAGCTTTAACAGGTAAAGGGTCTACAAGATTTTAAAAAAATGATCACGGGTAATAACCCAGAAAGTAATTCATTTTATGAACATATACTTGGTGTGTAAAAATTTAAGGCAATTGAAAATAAATTTAAAATCTTGAGCGTTTACAATATTTTCAAAGTTATCAAGGGCAATAACTCTTGCAGTAATAATCGAAAATCAATAGGCCTCTTTGTTTCATGACCATAAACACTGTGTATCAATTTTAAGTCAATCGGATGATAACTTTTTTCTCTAGTTAGAGCATCCACATGCAATAGCAGACATAGGGCAAACATGGATGACGACAAATACAATCACATTTCAATTATAAAAACTCACCATGACATGTACAAGGGCCTGTTTCTACTAGGAGACACTGTTTTTCACCGTTGACAAATTCACCCAGTACATAACATCCATCCTTTTGAAATTCAATGTCTGCAGAACACGCATGCGGTGTTTTTTGTATTTTTTTCTGTGAGTATAGAATAGATAATTAATCAATACAATGATATTAGTTAAAATTTGTTGAAATTTTGCATTGGAATTGGAATTGCATATCAAGAAAAAGACTAAGACAAACTAATTAGAGATTTAATTTGTTGTATGCCATGACATAAGCAATGGTGAAAAAATACATTAGTCATGTGTAATGTTAGTATCACATAACATAATATATAGCATATGTTTTACGCATCTATCTCAGATTTCATTTTCCTCAACATAAGTATTATGTAAGCATATACATAAATAATAGAACAAGCCAACAGTGAGGCTGATGACCGCAATCCAAAAATAAATAGATGATACATATTAATTCCACATTAATCTTTTTGATTAATCTTTGTTCACAATCAAGCTCATTCAAGGTGTTGAAGTACCTGGTAGTGAAACTGTACACTAAGTTTCATCACTCTCCATCAGTTAGAATCAAAGTTATCTTGTTCCAAAGCATCGACCAATGAAATTGATTAGCTTTGCTTAGCTTTAGTGGAAAATGTTAATCATTGAACTCAGTCAAGACATTCACCTAATGAACACGTACACCAAGTTTAAACATTCTTGACCAATTCCTTATCAGTCATTGGATTCGGCGGGTAGAATTCTTATAGAAACTACCTACAAACCGAGGTCCAAAAGAATGTCACATATTTTACCTCATTAAATAGCCAGAAAATGCCTCATGGCGACCATCTTGAATATTTAAATTTCCTTAAAGTTGCTAGGGTGGCATCATCCGGATTCTGAATCTACACATACTAAAGACATATAATCCACCAAAAAACCTTAGGTGGACTATATATCCAGGTTTGTCAACCTGCTGCCAGTCTCGCAATTGACAGTTAAAATGGCTTTACAGATTTCTATCAAACTTAATTGTATACCAAACAACAAACATGTCTATGTTCTCTTTAATTATCCTAAAACATGGAAATCCCTATTCATTTTTAGTAGGCCGGAAGACTGTGTGAATGATGTTCACAATTTGCCCTAATCTCACGTCTACCGGTATATAATTATTACATTCAGGATACAGAGTATAAAATGTATGGAAGACCAATGCGGTACACATGTCTATGACGTACATCCCTCTACAGCTATTCGGTCGATATTGATTATCTTCCCGAGTATTTATGAGAATGTGTTGGTGTCAACAAAAGCTGACAAGGAGTTATTAATACATTACCCTATAAATCACCATTATCTCAATAATTACAATCTATTCATTGCCATAGAAAACCTGAAGGGCTTCAAATAGGTCATTATGAGAGTTCCTGTATTTAGATAACATGTTCTGAGTGAAAATAAGGTATATATTATTGGTAGTCTATAATTAACTGATGATTATTGATAGATTGATGGTTGGTTTCCCACTCCGTCACCAATATCTAAGGTAACAAAATAGAGAGAGAGAGAGAGAGAGAGAGAGAGAGAGAGGTCCAATCACACAAACTATGTCATTTTGGGACTAACATATGGGAGGGAACCAGGGGGACCCTGAGAAAACCTACAATGTTGGACAGGCAACCCTACTCCTTGTTACGTACAATTGGGGAATCGAGACCACACCACTTGACTCAATGACAGAACTTATAATCCAATGTGCACACATTAACCATTAAATAAACAAATCCACCATATATATTATAGAATCCATTTTTTTTTTTTTTAATTTCAAAGATTCGCATGGTTACAGTGGAGCATTTCAAGACAGAATTGTATCTAGTCCCAGCATCATCTTCATCCTGATTTGCATTCTATGCATTATATAATAGCTTTACTTATTTTCTGCTTTTTCTCATGTGTCACTCAAAGAATCTGATGGTTTTTGTTATTAAGAAAATTCTTGGCATTTTTTGACATTCCTTGTATTAGAATGTGCATGAATAGATCATAGACATTTTTCTTGTAGAAGAATAGAAGAATATGAGTTTAAAGTGAAGAAGAAGGGAAGAACAGACTAACTGATCTAAGGTGGAAAACATTGATTTGTAAATGTTCTGAGCGCTTTTTTGTATAGCCTACGTGAATTATCTGTTTCCTGTCAAATTACCCAATGTTGTTAATTTTTTATCTTTCTTCTTCTTCTATAAGTGTTTAACGTCTGCTTCCACTGAGGATGGCATAGCAGACAAGTTGTCATATTTTACTATGCTAAGCAAACTAGAGATTGAAGCGCTGCATTCTTGACCACTAGGCCATTCCACCCCCCACCCCCTTTTTTTTATCTCAACTTCTATCTGATTTAGATGCTGTATCTTTACTTCTATCTAACAACTTCTTTATCAGCTATCTAATATAACACAATGTGATTGGTTCAAAACCACTATTGCAAATAAATGTCATCTCTTGATTGGTTAATTGAGAGGTCGGTGAAGTCAATTCATAACTTCTTAAAGTAGTCTTGACTACTCCAGCCCAAAATGTATCAGTTTTGACAAAACCAAACAGTACATCCTAAAACAGCTTGAGAAGAAAAATTACCTTTATAACCTGATGCTGGAAACAGGGCTGGATTAAGATGTTTGGAGGTCAGAGTATCACATGTGTAAAATGTATCATTAACCTGTTAAAGTTTTAATACTATAAATATATAATGGGGTGCTGAACTGCTGATTCAAATCCAACACTGGGAATAAACTGTGGTGCTCCCTTTCCCTTGGTACCTTAAGCACTTGCTTATTTTGTTTAGTTAATCCAGGGCTGATTGGAAGTTCAAAATTTCATTCTGTTTGTCTGTACTACACTAGGATCTGGAAGAGTTGTTATATAACAGGCGTTCTGGATGGTGAGAGGGATTAGCAAATGAAACCATCTGTTACGGCGACTTCTTGGCGTGCCATGTACGGAACTGTGGGTAATCTAATCCACTAGAAACGTCAACGCTGATTGATTAATCAATGTCTGACGTCATAGGGTCAACAGCCGCTCGTACGACCCCTGACAAGAGCTTCCAGTACAACTGGTCAGATCTTCATGTAGTGTAGGCCATCGAAAGTATAAAAAAACAAAGCCAAATATACATCTGTATTTTAATCAAACTGACATATACGATAAGTCATTGCATGAACTTTAAATATATTATGCAAAGAGCGTAACGGCCATTTACCATATACACAATTGATGTCACTTTGTCTAGACTAATGTGTGGTATAAGTGATGTGGAGAGATAAATTGGGATGGGTTGATCAAGAGTTTCAGCAAGGATGTTGTCAGACTGTATTGTACAATGTAAATGTTAACAACATAAAAAAAAGAAAACAATAAAAAGAACAATTCAAGTTTGATAGATATTTGATTTAAACAGTTTGCAATTTACACTTTGCATAGGGGTTTGAGAAGCAGACAGATCAATTAATTTGGTGCTATGGCATCTTATTTGAATGGGAACAGAGCCAGCGAGAAACGATGAAATTAACCATTCATGATAATGTACCATGTAAGATGTTAATGGCTTCTTTCAGCTGCTAAATCCAATTCCATTATGTCGATAAAATGTAAAAAATAAATAGTCTTGTATAAACACTATCAAGGGAATCAGTTAATCAATGGAATTAGCTAAAACGCTTTTACTTGATAATACTGTTTCAATGTCAATCTTTAAGGTCACAGTCATTAGTTTGATTCCAGGATTCCTAAACTTGGTTTCTTTAGTGATGCTTGCATGACTAGGTTAAGATACAATACACAATATGCTCTGTGCTAATCCTGTGTTCAGTAAATCAAGTCATATGTACAGTAAATCAAGTCATATTTACAGTAAATGAAGTCATATTTACAGTAAATCAAGTCATATTTACAGTAAATCAAGTCATTATTACAGTAAATCAAGTCATATTTACAGTAAATCAAGTCATATTTACAGTAAATCAAGTCATATTTACTGTAAATCAAGTCAGTAAACAAGGAGAATTCATTACATATAAAAGATGTTGTTGTCTTTAATCGCTGTCCATTTACCATAAATATCGAAGCCTACAAATGTAAGTAAATTCTGGGATTATCCCCTGCCCTCAGAATCTGTTGTATGTTTAAGTCTCTTACTTTTTCCAGGTCTGCTCACAATCATATTTATCAACATATACATTAAGCACTCCGTAATGAAAAGAGGTCAGATAATCTATACATGCAATATTTGACGTCACTCGAGCAGACAGGCCTAATCATCAAACTGCCAATTAGTGACACCCTTACATTTTTGTCCTGTGCGCACTCCATGGATGTTTTTCTGGGAATCCAGTATATTTCTAGTAAGATTGGGTGTCTCTACTTTCAATACATACCAAAAGTGAAATAACCACCCAATAAATACTTTCGATGGAAATGAAATGAAATGGGGTTTAACGTCCTACTGTTCTGCTCCTATACTGGGCTAATGGGCATATGCCATACCGTGTGCTATGAGGGAAATTTTGCCCAGGCAGCAGCACTATGGCCTACTCCTATATCGAATTCCAACCGCCAAGGGATCTTGTACGTTCACACCTATGTAAACACAGACTTTTGGTTTTGTTACGTCCCATTCGAATGACCAGACAACTGTCCTTGTCAGGCCCTCCGTCCTGTACCACTGACAAAGGGAAACCTACTTTCAATGGCTTACATTACATGAAGATCTGACTGGTTGTAGTGGGAGGTCATGTCTGGGGTCATATAAGTGGCTTTTGATCCTATGATGCCAGACATTTGATTAACCATGCAATCAGCATTGATTTTTCAAGTGTGTATTTGAAAGTACAACTTTTGCTTTGTCTGCGAATGTCTACCCACAGTTCCTGGCACCACATGCCAAGAACATGTAGCTAAACTAAAGACCGTTTCATTGGCTAATCCCTCACATCAACCGGAACGCAGATTATATAACAACTCTTCCAGATCCTTGTATAGTGAAGGCAAGTAAAACAAAATTTGAACTATAAAAATTGAAATAAGATCTGTGTTCTAATCAGATTGGATATTGTAGGTCTTTGAAAGTTTTTTGGGGGGCTTATAATACTAATAGTGATTTTTAAATCAAAATACTTACATCTTTGTATGATTCAGTTAGATTCTTCACCAAGTCTGTTGACGAGTTAAGATCTATTGTTGTATTGTATAGTTGTTTTTTATCCTCTACACAAGCATTCCATGCTGCGAATTGAAGAAACATTAAATAAACAAACTTTTACCACAGACACATACATGTAAGAGATAGGTACAATTCTAAGTTATTAGCTTTATTTTTAAGATACGGGGTAACTTATATAGGCTTTATGTAAGATATACTGGCATACATCTAATAAATGGAAAGCCATATCTTAATTTGAGACCATTTGGTGTTACATTTACATAGATGGAAGAGCAACACAGGTCTAATTTGAAAACATTTAGGGTTAATTGGCATAATCCTAATGACCTAATCAGTGATGCAACATTTTCGTAATTATGGTCGGAAGCTAGTTAACTTGTCAACACTCAGCCTCGTCCACATTTAAGTCTTCCACAAGCATTGGTTGACTCTTCCACATGGTATTGGTTATGTCATGCAAAACTAATACTTGACTGATACACATATGGTAATTGTATGGAATAAATCAGATTAGTTCCCCGATGTTTTTATAATAAAGTAGCCTTTTATTGAGCATTGATTGGCATTTTGCTTATTCTTAAAAGTTAAAACTTTTATCAGTTGGTAGAGTCATGTTGATATTTTCATTTTTGTTTTGAGTTGGCCTATATGTAATTCAAAATAAATTCATAGGGCGAGGTTTTTTTTTAAAAATTTTTATCTAATATATACCAGCGGCTGCCAGGCAGGATACGCCCACATTTTCGAGAAATGGATAGAAAACAAGCTAAAACGAAAGTGATTTTTCCTACAATCAAGGGCCATAATTCAGGAAATTACAATTCGATATGCGCAAATATTGACAGGCACCGAGATCTTTGGGTTATAAACTTACATTTCAAGTTTCAACAAAATTGGATAAAAATTGTGACCTCCATGTCCACAACCTTGATATACCATATTTTTACGCTATTTGAGAACGAACGGCGGCCATTTTGTCTGTCAGTTCTGGGCCGATTTTCAGGAAATTAGAACTCAGTCGTCCTTAGGGTGTAACGGTGATAAAATAATACGTTTTTTTAAATCGGATAAAAATTATGACCTCTATAGGGTCCACAAGCTAAAAACGTGATTTTTCTTACAATCAGGGTCCATAATTCAGGAAGCTATGGTCCGATATGCGCGAATATCGAAAGGAACCGAGATCTTTGGTTATAAGCTTACATATCAAGTTTCAACAAAATCGGATAAAAATTGTGACCTCTATAGGGGTCCACAAACTTGATATACCTTATTTTTACGCTATTTGAGAACGAACGGCAGCCATTTTGTCTGTCAGTTTGGGGCCGATTTTCACGAAATTCAAACTCTGTTGTCCTTAGGGTGTAACGGTGATATAATAATACGGTTTCTTAAATCGGATAAAAATTATGACCTCTATAGGGTCCACAAGCTAAAAACGCGATTTTTCGTACAATCAGGGGCCATAATTCAGGAAGTTAAGTTCCGATATGCACGAATATCGAAAGGAACCGAGATCTTTGGGTTATAAGCATACATTTCAAGTTTAAATCAAATCATATAAAAATTGTGACCTCTACAGTGTTCACAAGATCTTTGGGTTATAAGCATACATTTCAAGTTTAAACCAAATCATATAAAAATTGTGACCTCTACAGTGTTCACAAGCTAAAAACGTGATTTTTCGTACAATCAGGGGCCATATTCCATGAAGTTACGGTCCGATACATGCCAATATCGAAAGGAACCGAGATCTTAGGGTGATAAACCTATATTTCAAGTTTCATTGAAATTGGATAAAAATTGTGACCTGTAGACTGTTCACAAACAATTTTGGACGGCCGGACGGACGGACGGACAGGGGTGACGACAATATACATCCACATGAAAATGTGGGCGTATAAAAATATGAAAGATACAAATATATAACACATATATAAAAACTTTATTTTTATAACAATCAATATTGCATTGGTTAAATACAATGGAAATATTGTCGACTTTATTAGACTTTTCTTGTGGACGAGTTAACATGCATTGCTATGGGGTCACGGTTACACAGTGTATAAACCATATTGTGTTTTCTACTTACCTTTGTTTATAACGTATAGTTTATTTCGGGTGTTTATAGATGTTGAATTAATGAGTACAATGTTACTGTTATATATTCCTGTGTCTTTTGAAGTAGCATTCATTATCTCTAAGTGCATATCTTTTTTTCCCACTTTTTCTACACGCATTGTTTTATTGTAGCCATTCTTTAAGTTTATATTATTTTCATACCAGTAGCCAATTTTTGTATCCTATTAATGTCAATTAAATGTATGATTATAATTTCATACACCAACACAAAAGACAGGTTGCCAGGCAACAAAACATACGCCCACAGCAGCTGAATTGTCCGAGCGGTCAACAAGGGTTGTTACATACTTATTTATTCTTTTGAAGGTAATGGAAGGGGGGGGGGGGGTATTTACAAGACAATTTTATACAGATCAGATAGTTATTTTCATCGTTTGAGGGTTCACAAGGTTCTACAAATTGAAACAAGGGCTTTTAAGTATGGAAGTAACCTACAGAAATTGTTGTTGAATTTAAATAATTCCTGTCGATAACATTTGTCATTCAAGCGTTCACAGGGTTGACTTCACAAAGTTCAATGAGGTGAAACAAGGGCCATAACTCTAGACGTAATTAACGGAAATTGCTGAAATTCATTAATCGTCTTTGTTTCACTAATTCAAATGAGGCATATAAATTCCGTACAAATCAAATGATAACTTTTGTTGTTAAAGCGTACACAATGCGCAAAAAAGTGAAACAAGGGCCATAACTCTAGACGTAAATATCGGAAATTGCTGACATTCAATAGACTTCCTCATTTCACTAATATACGTGCTGCATATAAATTTCTTATAGATCGGATGATAACTTTTGCAGTTAGAGCGTTCACGAGGTGCAACAAAGAGAAAAAAGGGCGGACATAACTAATGAAATTGCTGAAATTCAATAGGATTCTTTGTTTCACGAACCTAAATGAGGCATATGAATTTCATACAGATCTGAGGATAACTTTTGTCGCTAAAGTGTTCAAAAGATGCAACAAAGTTAAACAAGGGCAATAACTCTAGACGTACATGTAATTATCGGAAATTCATATCAATTTCATACAGATCAGATGATAACTCTTGCCATTACAGCGTTCACAAGGTGCAACAATCCACATAACATCACAACGTTAAGTTTACATAACAATGGTCAGTCACTGTTTACCATCATTTTGCTCATTTTTTTTAATGATAAAGTGAAACAAGGGCCATAACTCCAGAAGTAATTAACGGAAATTATTGAAAACAAATAGGATTCTTCATCTCACTAATGTAAACAAAATATATCAATTTCGAAACCAATGAAGCCTGTAGAGTGTTCCATGTGGTTGTATCAAAATACAACAAAGGGTCATTATGAATGGTTCAATCAAAACATGACAGATATATTCTAATTACCAATACATATTGTTTTCCTTATAGATTTTCAGCACATGTGTGACAACGAATTCACTGTCTTGTGTTAAACTGTGTTTGAAATCTGAATCTCCTGCTTATTGTTTCTTCATTCAAACCAGAAACCCATGGGTGCAGTCCGTTGATAACTGTGTAGTATTACTTATTACAGAAAACAGTTCCGGAATGCCTGTTTTGGTTTCACTTATAATATGATACATATTAATTTTGAATTAGGAAACTGTTGAAATTTGATGTGCATGAAGTTTTAAAAGATCGGGTGAAAAATAATCAGGCGCTAATAACGAAGTGTGCCCAACGAACAATTGGAATAACAACAGGTGCACAGCAATATAGGCCTACTATTACATTATAAACCTTGTCATTGCCAGGTAACAAATACTTTTAGGCAGGCTTTGAAAGTTTTCATAGTCAGGGGCAAAAACTACAAATAAAGGTTGAGGTGAATTTTGATAGGGATCTTCCTCGTGATAAAACTGCCTCATCTACTTGAGTCTTTGCAAGGTTCTGGTGAGCTGGACAAGAACTCAAGTAAAAAATACTGCACAATTCTGACCAGCACAGCAGAACAATTTCATTATCGAATTCCAACTGCCAAGGGATCTTTTACGTGCATTCCAATGTATACACGGAACCTCAGTTTTTCGTCTCATCCGAAGGACTAGTCAGCTGTTCTTGTCAGGCCCTCCGTTCTGCACCACTGACCGAAGGAAACCTCTGACCTGTACTACATGTATGTTTAAAAGAACAGTGGCCAGCTGGACAGGAGTGACGACAATATACCCAATTGATGTGTTGGCTATAATAAACACATCACAAAATACACATTATAATTAAATAATTATTCAAATACTTATAAAAAAAGAAATTGTAAGTACGCTAGCATTGTCATTCTGTTTGTATACCCAGTGTACTGCTACATAAGTGAAATCTTCCGCATGCATGTGCAATTCACACTCTGTATCTTTTAAACAATATATGACCTGGTCTTGGTTCTTGCCACTGCACACAAACACAAAAAAAGCTGGAAAATAAACCGTGATATATTAAAATAAAAAAAAAAAAACAGCAGCTGCCAGGCAAGATACGCCCACATTTTGCAAGAGATGGATTGAGAACAAGCTAATAAAAAAGCGATTTTTTGTACAATCAGGGGCCATAATCCAGAAAGTTATGGTCTGAAATGCGCAAATATTAAAAGGGACTGAGATCATTGGTATGTAAAGATATTTTTAAGATTCATCAAAATCTGAAAAAAATTGTGATTTGTAGTGGCTCCACAACGCGGCACAACCTTCGTACATGTATTACATACTTTTACACAATTTGCGTACAAAGAGCGGGCATTTTGTCATGCAGTTTCATTTCGATTTTCTCAAAATTCGTATTCAACCTTCAATATGGTAGAATGGCGATATATTTAAACTGTTTTTAAAATCAGAAAAAAATTTTGACGTGTAGAGAATCCACAAGCTAAAAATGCGATTTTTCGAACAATCTGTAGTCCTTTTTATACGCCCACATTGAAATGTGGTCGTATATTGTCGTCGCCCCCGTCCGTTCGTCGGTCCGGCGTCCACAATTGCTTGTGGACGCTCTAGAGGCTAAAGTTAATATCTGATTGACTTTAAATTTATACACAGTGTTTAATGTCTTGAGACGAAGAAGTCTATTGATTTAAATTTATATACAATGTTTAAGGTCATGAGACGAAGAAACCTATTGATTTTCAACGATTTCCGATAATTATTGCCAGAGTTATGGCCCTTGATCACTTCAAAAAATCTGGTGGATGCTCTAGAGGCTAAAGTTAACATCTGATTGACATTAAATTTATACACAGTGTTTAAGGTCATAAGATGATGAAGCCTATTGGTTTTCAGCGATTTCTGATAATTACTGCCAGAGTTATGGCCCTTGATCACTTCAACAAATCTTGTGGATGCTCTAGAAGCGAAAGTTAATATTCGATTGACTTTAAATTTAAAGTTATGGCCCTTGATCACTTTGAAAAATCTTGTGGACGCTCTAGAGGCCAAAGTTAATATCCGATTGACTTTCAATTTATACACAGTGTTTAAGGTCATGAGACGAAGAAGCCTATTGATTTTCAGCGATTTCCGATAATTACTGCCAGAGTTATGGCCCTTGATCACTTCAAAGAATCTTGTGGATGCTCTAGAGGCTAAAGTTAATATCCGATTGACTTTCAATTTATACACAGTGTTTAAGGTCATGAGACGAAGAAGCCTATTGATTTTCAGCGATTTCCGATAATTACTGCCAGAGTTATGGCCCTTGATCACTTCAAAGAATCTTGTGGACGCTCTAGAGGCCAAAGTTAATATCCAATTGACCTTAAATTTATACACAGTGTTTGAGGTCATGAGACAAAGATTCCTATTGATTTTCAACGATTTCCGATAATTACTGCCAGAGTTATGGCCCTTGATCACTTCAAAAAATCTTGTGGACGCTCTAAAGGCCAAAGTTAATATCCGGTTTGACTTTAAATTTATACACAGTGTTTAAGGTCATGAGACGAGGAAGTCTATTGATTTTCAGCGATTTCCGATAATTACTGCCAGAGTTATGGCCCTTGATCACTTCAAAAAATCTTGTGGATGCTCTAAAGGCCAAAGTTAATATCCGATTGACTTTAAATTTATACACAATGTTTAAGGTCATGAGACAAAGAAACCTATTGATTTTCAACGATTTCCGATAATTACTGCCAGAGTTATGGCCCTTGATCACTTCAAAAAATCTTGTGGATGCTCTAGAGGCTAAAGTTAACATCTGATTGACATTAAATTTATACACAGTGTTTAAGGTCATAAGATGATGAAGCCTATTGGTTTTCAGCGATTTCTGATAATTACTGCCAGAGTTATGGCCCTTGATCACTTCAACAAATCTTGTGGATGCTCTAGAAGCGAAAGTTAATATTCGATTGACTTTAAATTTATACACAGTGTTTAAGGTCATGAGACGAAGAAACCTATTGATTTTCAGCGATTTCCAATATTTGCTGCCACAGTTATGGCCCTTGATCACTTTGAAAAATCTTGTGGACGCTCTAGAGGCCAAAGTTTCGTTGCCTGGCAACCTATCTTTTAAAAATCCAAAAGTGGCCAAAGTTACCCATATGGAGTCCATAATGTATATTTGAAATGATTATATTTTTTTAAAATTCCTAAGGTGGCCAAAGTTACCCATCTATAGTCCACATGTTGATTGGTTCAACACTTTAACTCTGATTCTAAAGTGGTCAAACTTACCTATCTGTGGCTAAAATTACTCATCTGTAGTCCACACAAGCAGTTTCAATGGGTCCTGGGGGGTTGAATGGCCTATTGGATTGCGTGTGAGCATTGTATCATAATGGCGAATACTTAATGCATGCACATTGGATCATAAGATCTGTCATTGAGTCAGGTGGTGTGGTTTTGATTCCCCGCTTGTACATGACAAAAAGTAGGGTTTCCTGTGCATCCCCGTGGGTTTTCTCCGAGTCCTCTGGTTTCCTCCCACTGCTAAAGACCCCTACTTCTGTCCACAATTTGTTTGTGTACACTCTACAGGTCACAATTTTTTGACGAAACGTGAAATATAGGTCTATCTCCCAAAGATCTTGTTTCCTTTTGATATTGGCATGTATCGAACCATAACTTCATGGATTATGGCCCTGATTGTACGAAAAATCACATTTTTAGCTTGTGGACACTCCAGAGGTCGCAGTTTTCACCCGATTTTGATGAAACTTGAAATGTATGTTTATAACCTTTTCGATATTCGCACATATCGAATCGTAACTTCCTGAATTATGGCCCTTGATTGTACAAAAAATCACGTTTTTAGCTTGTGGTCCCTGTAGAGGTCAAAATTTTTATCTGATTTAAAAAAAAACAAAAACGTGTGAATATATTACTGTTACACACTAATGATGGTTGAGTTCGAATTTCGTGAAAGTCGGACTAAAACTGCCGGACAAAATGGCCGCCCCTCACATGCAAATAGTGTATAAATATGGTATATCAAGGTTGTGATACGTTGCGTCAGTGTAGTTTTAGAGTTTTGGCAGATGTTCGCGCCGCGTACGTATGAGTAGCTGAGCTGAGCTTAGTTCTCTTACAACATGACGACGGTTATCTACCAAAATCACCATCAGTGCTAGTCAAGTGCCTAGCCACAAATGCCTAGACTCGACAGCAATTTTGGATTTCACTCATTTCAGAAAGGTTATACCCCTTTACGGTAGAATCACACCATTTACACCTCCCTAAATTTAGCACGTAGATCAATCAGCATGCAGACAAACAGGAAAAATATGAAAAATCCAAGAAAAACTTATAAAAAATAATGATTAAAAACACGTCTTTATCATGGTTAAATCACATCAAATATACACCTCCGTGTTCTAGGATACATATAGATTCATAAAAACGCTATGCCACAACATTTCAGCGTATAAAAGTAGCAAAAAGGCGATGAAAAGACGACGATGTTATACAGACCTTTCCGTATGAAAGCTGTTCGATATGTGCTGCCGTATCCGTGTGCCGTATCACGTATGAGAAATACACACACATTGATGACGTCACACACAAAATTCATACGGATACGCGATGCGGACCAGGAATTTACGCTTGCCAAAAGTCTATAATATCCAGGTCTACTTTGACGTATGCTCTCACTAATACTGTCGTTATGTTGTGTTGTCTGGCTATGAAAATGGCGAAAAATTACATGGTCACTATCAGCCACCATAGTATTGGAGAAAATCTGCTTTAGAAATTCCTGGCTAGAAAATCTGAAGTGGAAAGTCGAGAGTCAAAAGTTGACAGTAGAAAGTAGAAAGCGGAAAGTCGAAAGTCAAAAGTTGATAGTAGAAAGGAGAAATTTTGTCCATGAAAGTAGAATTATGACGATTAAAAGTTGAAAAGCTTGATGTTTCTACTGACTAAGTACATAAATTTATAGGTTTTCACCATAAAAATACCCTTTTAGATAAGAATTTTCCCGTTTACTTTAGATTTTCTACTTTTTACTGTTGACTTTTTACTCTAGATTGCATTTTGAAAACGATACCCCGCCATAAACCACCACCCTTTGCTATAATAGTTTAAAAATAGATAATAAAAAATTAATATATTGAAAATTTCAGTCAAATTACTTTATGCTGAACGAATTTATGAATCTTTAAAGTTTTGACAAGAAATTGTCTACACATTGTATACCTCTCCCACTGAGGAGATCATCACCAAACACAATCTAGGTGCCATGATCTATACAGATGACAGTCAGCTCTATTTAGTATGTAAAGATCTGTCAATTCAGTTGAATCGTTAGAGACTTGCATTGATGAAATCAGAGCCTGTTTTGAATGATTCCAAAACCCAAGCTCTATCACTTGCCTATCCCAAAGGTCTAGCAAACAATAAATGTTAAGGTGATCGAATCTTCTCACGATACGCCACTATTTTATGAAATGGACTGCCATGTGAAATTAGAGCTGTGGTGAACATTTCGGATGTTACACTTTTTGTCATTATGTTTGTATTGTTTTTATAGTTCCTCTTTTACATATCTTATTACAGTTTTACTAAAGTTTCCTCTTATGTACTTTTATTATTTGTAACAATCTTATTTTAAATTTTATACCACTCCATTTTGATGACTATTTTCCTTTACTTGTAGGTCGTAGTTCTTCATTCATTGTTGCTAACTATGTTTACAAATGTATGTTCAGGTCTTCAGGACTTAATCATATCCCACACAACCTAAAATTTCCTGCAGCTGCCCCCCGCCCCAACCCTAAAGTGTCCTAAGTTTGGTCTGCCTACCCTCCTTCGGAGGTCCCAGCGCACCTCTGTTTAAATATACATTCTGGACTACAAATGGATAACTTGGGCCACTTTAGGATTTTTAAAAATATACTTTGACCCATAATAATCATTTGAAAATATACATTATGGACTACATATGCATATGGGTAACTTTGGCCACTTTTGGATTTTTTAA